TCTTTTACCTCCGTTTTCCTAAAGATGTGTCCTTCTACACATTTCAAAGCTTTTGCTTTGACTTTCATGAGTTAGTCCGTAATATTTGTTGTGCTATTGGAGAAAATAATTTCCATCTGTTCCTAATTATTTAAAAAAATGATGGTCTCTTCTTTAAAAAAAAAAAAAAAAAGATGACTAATTCCTCCCTCTGTCCTCTGCTCAAACACTGAATCTCAGATCCTTTGAGGTCTCACAGAATTTAGGCGTTAATTCCCTTGAAAGCACTTTTTAAGCTACTGCACTCACCATGCAGATTTCATTAAACCTCCTACTCTATTCTTCCACTGGTGTCTCAGGAAAGGCAAAGGAACTTTTGTTGTATATTAAAGCACTTTGCTCAGAAATACTGTCTTTGGAGCCCATTTATGAATCTGTATGTATTTATTTAGCCTCCAGACAGGAAACAAGCATCTGTTAGGACTAAAAGAGAATGCAAGTGGACGATGTCTCATCTTATTTGTGGGAAACATCTGCTTACAATAATGTACAGAGCTCAGATTTCAGGGTTTGTAGTCTTGCATGATTTCATCCTTAAATCATCTGTGTTGGCAAAGAATAGTGAGGATTAGGCCAGGAAAAAACCATATGAAGGCTATGTACAGATGAGATCAAATGAAAAGCACAAGACCTACAATATCCCATAGCCAATATTTCTAGTTTCTAATGTGTTCACCTTGGAAGCTAGTGTATTACTTCAATGATCATATGTCAAAAGCTGTTCTTTTCTGGACTTCTTTATAATTGGCATTCGGACTAACAGGATAAATTTTGGGGAAATAGTTGCATGTGTTAGGTGACTAATGAGTTGGGTCATTCTAAGTGGAAACTCTGCAATTGTCAGGTTTATCCATGTTTAAATAAAGAAGCAGAGACTGGGTACTTAGTCCTGACCCTGCTATTTGTTTTCTTTGTGATGTGGAAAATTTTACTTATATTACTTTAAGTATTATTTTTTTGCCAGCCCTGGGGCTTGAACTCAGACCTGGGCACTGTCCATAAGCTTCTTTTGTTCAAGGCTACTGCTCCACCACTTGAGCCATAGCTCCACTTAAAGCTTTTGTGGTAGTTAATTGGAGGTAAGAGTTTCACAGACTTTTCTGCCCAGGCTGGCTTCAAACCCTGATCTTCAGGTCTCAGCCTTCTGAGTATCTAGGATTATAGGTATGAGCTACCAGCACCCAGCAATGTTAATTTTTTTTTATTCATAAGATGAAATTTTATGAGGATTAAATGAATAATGAGAGCATGAGTCTTGTCCATGTTGCTATTAAACCTTCTTTGTACATCTTGTTATTGTGAACAGTATTGGCACAGAATCCCAGAGTCCTGGCATGCCGATGCTTTCCGGGAGAATCTAATCAAGCTTCCTCTGTCCCAGATAATGACCCTGAGAACCATGATCACTGAGGAATTAGCTAGAATGGGTATGAGAGACCATTTTGAAAGAAAATACTTAGTTGGCACTTAGCACATTTAAGTCTGTTTTTTAAAAATATATACACACATTTTAAAAATAGGTTTTTTATTGTAAAAATACTGTACAGAGGTGTTACAGTTATATGAGCAAGGTAGTGAGTACATTTCCTATCAACCATTGTTACCTCCTCCTTTGTTTTTCTCCTACCCTCCCTTCCCTCCCACCTCCACAACTACACAGCCCCCTCCCCTCACCCTCCCTACCTAAATTGTAAAGTCCATTTTTCAATGTAGAATCTTGTACATCTCATTGTTACAGTGGGTCAACCTGTATCCCTATTTAAGCATTTTGTTTTTTCCCTTCCCCTCCCCATGCTAGAGAAGTGTATATACAAGATGCAGGGCACCGACATCAAATACAGTGAAAACAGGTGTTATACCGTGGGGAAGGAACATACAAAGAAACAAAAAAAAAATCAGCCAGGCCCAAAGAAACATGGATCCTATGGTTTCCCTTATTTGCAATAACTAGTATATGTCTGGGACAAGCAGAAAAGGTCAAAAGCTATGTACATATGACTAGATAAGATGATGTTAAGTGAAATGAACCCCAAGATAGGGACACAAGTGGTTTTTTCTTTCTTGCTATTGTTCCTAATACATTTTTTTTAAAGAAACTTACTGAAATCTACTAGCATGCCATCAAATTAACCAGGACACATTTTTCCTTGGGATTACAGATCTCACTGTTTGTCTATTCATCCAGAGGAAGAATGGCAAAAGTAGATAAGTACCATTCCCTAGAAAAGCTTTTATAGACTCTCTTTATCATCTGAATTTTTCAGTAAATGTTAGTAAGTGTGAGCTGTCACTGCCTCTGGGCATACCTAATCATTTAGGACAGGTATGTGTGAATAAAGCCATGTGAGGGCTAAGGCACAGCTGTACAGGAGAAACCCACAGAAGAGAAGAACATGAAAAAGAGCAGGAATGATCTAATCTGAGGAGATAGAAGATATGAGAGTGCGATCTAAGAAGGAAGGTTCCTCTTTACTGACTGATAGAGGGCTACCAGGTCCTCTGTAGACGGTTTCTGTACTGGTACCTAGCTACGTGGGGACATTAGCATACCATCATAGAGAGTACTGTTTTCTGTAAACTGAAAACTCCTCAGAATAAATGTCCTATAATTGTCCAAATAATAAATGTCCAAATACAGGATGATATTTTAACAACTCCTGCTCTTCAAAAGTGTTTACTTTTCTTAGTTGACAGACAAAATTGTATGCATTTATCATATATGATAGGATCTTTTGAAGTATATATACTCATTAAAGAATGATTAAGTCTAGCTAATTGCCAAAGGCATCACCTCTCTTGGCAAGAGCACCTAACATCTGCTCTCTTCATTTTTCAAGAATATAATGCATTATCAGTAACTATAGCCACCATCTCCTGCAGCCAATTTGAAGTAATCATCCTATCTAACTGTAATTATGCATCCTTTGACCAACATGGTCCCATTACATCCCTGTCCACCCATCATAGCCTCCTGTAAACAGTCTGTTCTCTACTTCTATTTAATAAATGTATTTCTTTCTGTCTTTTTTCTTTTTTCTTTTCTTTCTCTCGCTTTCTCCCCCGCCCCCTCCAGATTTCAAGAAAGCAGATTTGTCTTTCTGTACCTGGGTTATTTCACTTACCATACTATCATTTACCATACTATCCTCCACACTCATCTCTATTGTCACAAGTAAAAAGATATTTCCTTCTTTTATATTGCTGAATTGTATTCCGTGTTTATATAGCAATTCATTTTTTAGGTTGATTCCATTATCTGGCTGTTGGGAACAGTGCTTCAGTGAACATGTCAGCCCAGATGTCTCTTTGACATACTAATTTCATTTCCTTTAGCTTTATACCTAACGGTAGAATAGCAGGATGATAATGTAGTTTGGTTTTTAACTCTTTCCAATGCTGCCTATATTTATTTACGTTCCCACAGAGTTATTATTAAGAATTCAAGTTCTTTGTTCATCCTTGCAAATATTTGTCATCTTTTATCTTTCTGATAATAGAGATCTTATTAAAAGAAACAAATTCTCTATATCACCTTTGAAATGACTTGTTTCGTTATCACATTTAAAGAGAATTTAGTATGTTGAACATCCACCCATCCTTGCTCCCTTCTTTTAAAGGTACAAATGCTAGCTGAGAGCTGGTGACTCATGCCTGTAATCCTAGCTACTCAGGAGGCTGAGATCTGAGGATCACGATTCAAAACCAGCCTGGGCAGGAAAGTCCATGAAACTCTTATCTCCAATAAACCACCAGAAAACCGGAAGTGGCACTGTAGCTCAAGTGGTAGAACTCTAGCCTTGAGCTGAAGAGCTGAGGGACAGCGCTCAGGCCCAGAGTTCAAGCCCCACAACCGACAAAAAAAAAAGGGTGCAAATACTCATGAGCAAGTTCTGGAAGCTGGGGTCACAATTATACTGGGTGCACAGTACACTTTGTAGCTGAAGATGTCAATGCTCTGGACAAGTTATTTTACAAGAAGCAATACTAGTGAAGAAGAATGACACTGTTGAGACTTTGTCTGAAAATTAGCAGAACACAAAATATTTCCTGCCGCCCTTCAGATAGTGGCCAGTAGAGTATACAGCTTGAAAACAATGGCAGAGTCTTTGAGGGATGAAGGCTGTTATGAAAGAACTATGGCTATTTGCTTGTTGTCTTTTTATCATGGACTTAGCCCAAGAAGAAAAACTGCTAATAAAAATGACTTCATCCTTTCATTAAAAAAAAAAGAAAATTTAGTGTTCTATATAGAAAACATGTTTCTTTCAAATATTTTTATTGTTTTTCTATGTATAAACATTTCAGAAAGGTAAAGCAATTATATATTGATTAATAAGAAAAGTGTGAAGATCCAATATAATTAATTATTTTACTAGCTAATTTTAAGCCTGCATGTGTCTATCCCATCGTTATAATTATAATCACTCTCAATGAAGTTTCCCCTACTCTGAAAGAAACAGATTGGTGAGACTTGAGTCATGATTATAAAGTATACACATGTCAATTGAACTTTCTCAAATCTAGGTCACAGGGCAAGGAGACCCCTTGAAAAAACAGGCTGAGTGTCAAATTCACAGGCCCTTCAATATGAAATAATATTCTCTCAGCCCACATTTTGTCTCAAAGACAATATAAACAATGCACTGATGTTAGGAAACAGAAAACTGCGCTCATGGTAATAGCAAAGCTTCATGGTGCAGGTTTTTACACTTTAATACATTGTGCTCGCTTCTGCCATGTTAATATTTTAAGTAATATGATTTCCTTTTTGTCCAGTTTTATATTCATCTCCTCTCTCCCTTCCCTTTGGTCACAGGTTTCTATAATGCTATACTGGAAAATCTTGGAAAAGAAAGTCTTAGAGCATAAAGTCAAATAATCTTTATAAAATAATAACAAAACCAGCAATGGAAATGGATTTAAGGTTCTGCCTACAAATATTATCTTATGTTTTTTCACAGACTCAATCTGTGTCCCAGGCTTTGATCCAGGCCTCAACATGATGACTGGAATCACCCCCATTAACCCCATGATACCAGGCTTGGGCCTGGTACCACCCCCACCACCAACAGAAGTGGCCGTTGTCAAAGAAATAATCCACTGCAAAAGTTGTACTCTTTTCCCTCAAAATCCAAGTGAGTAGCACCTCTAAGAAATACTTTGCTTGGTATTTTAAAATTTTTTATTTGAATTTGCATTGTATTTGTTTTCAGGTGTGATTCACCCAGGCATGTACAAAAAGGACTATTCTTCAGATGCTTCTGTCTCTAGATTAGAGCAAATATACAGGGTGTATCCTTGTGTCTGCCAAGAGTTCAATCAGGATGGAGTATTTAAGGGTTTATATCTAGCATTGAGAATCTTTTTGCATGCATTGGAGTCAAGTATTTCCGAGAGAACGGTGTGAAATAGATAAGCATTTCCATCTATCTTCACAACTGTGGGAGAAAAAGTCTGAAATGTGTTTTGCAAGATGGAAATTTAAATTAACTTAGGAGTTAACAATTTTTGAGAAGAGGAGAACCTGTATCTCCAAACTTCTGGGCCAAATTGCATATGAAGTAAATGGACTGGAATTTTTTTTAATTTACCCTCAAATAACTGGGGTTATGGACTTAAATAGCTAGGATTTTAAAAAATTTGTATTAATCAGTGTTGTCTTTTTTTCAAGAGATTGCTTTAGTAATCTACATGTAAACTAGGTAAAACGTTGTGACAGTATACATTTTATCTTCTTACACAGCCTCCCCCAAATTTAATAGTTTGCTCATTTAAATGCGAATAATAACCAAGTATTTTTTCAGGCACAGCATATTGCTTGCCAAGTAAGTATTGTGCGTGCTTTCTTGGGTCACGCTTCTGTGTTCTACGATGCTGCATTTTTATCTGGCAAGAAGACAAAGCAGAGAACAAGCCAAGGTTTTTCTTCACGTTGTCATTTCATCGTGTTTTGTACTTTGTGAAGCCTCTCCTCCCCTTTTCCTAAGCTTCTGTGTTATGAAGGAAAAATGAAATTATGCTAACATGTGCATCACCTTTGTTCACAGACAAGCATAGACATGCTATGCGAAAATGAACACAAAGAATAAAGGTTGGGAGGAGGAGGGGAGAGGAAAATAAAAGTTTCTATAAAAGTTGACTATGACCCAGTCTAATGCAAGTAACTGCAAAGCTTGACTTTTGCCAAGTGAACCAGGAAAAAGAAAGTCAGTAAATCAAAGACAAAAAAAAATTTCTCTGTTTCATTGTGATATTAGATCTTCCACCTCCATCCACAAGAGAACGACCTCCTGGGTGCAAGACTGTGTTTGTTGGAGGATTACCAGAGAATGCTACTGAAGAAATCATTCAAGAAGTCTTTGAGCAGTGTGGTGATATCACAGCTATCCGAAAGAGCAAGAAGAATTTTTGTCACATTCGCTTTGCAGAAGAATTCATGGTTGATAAAGCCATTTACCTTTCTGGTACTTTGCTTTACATAAGGGGTTTTCTGGGCATTTTGTCATGTTTTGTGATGTTAATGTGAGCTTATTTCCTTTTGCCTCAGTCCACAGTAAGGTTCTGGTGGGTTTGGGGCTGGAGAAGGAGGAATTCTGCCTTGTTTTCCTCTCAGCTTTGAGGCGCTCTCTGTTACCTTTATAAGAGGGTGCCTCCTGTACCTTGCTGCAGGAAATATTTCCTACTATCCAGACTTTAGAAATTCCATTGAGTTTTTAATTAATGCTCTCAAGTGCTTATTAGATAAAAGCTAATATTATGAGTACTGAGGACCATTATTATTCTTGGGTGGAATCCTCTTTCAGTCTTTTAAAAGTGAATTCCCTTTCACCACCTTGGGGGTACCAAAGCAAGATCAGTTCTTTGCAGGAAAGTACTTCGTGGGCCACTGGTAGTCTAGCATCATCCCTCATTTAAATCTATTCCACCATCCTTGTTCTTTGGTGTCAGATTTTATACAAGATCTTTCTAAATGTTGAAATTAAGTGTAGGGCTGCTTTCCACTCATGGGTGTTGAAGTATGTGGAATCTGGCAACAAGTCCTTTTCCAAATTTAAGAATAGTAAGGCTAGTGTTGCTGTATGTGTGGCTTTTAAAAGGGCATATTTTTAGATTAATTTATTGGTCTTCCCTCATGCTCCAGCAAGAGTTTTCAGTCTCCTACTTCCTGTATATCCCTCTTTATTCCCAAGGCAAAGCTAATGGCTAACGGTGGGAAAACAATAGGAAAAAAAAATGTGTGAATATGACTGCCAGGTTTTACTTAATTTCTGCAGTCTGCTTCTATTGCTGTGATGTTCTGTGCAAACCCCAGAAGCCTTGAGTTTGTTGCAATACCTCAGAGACTTTCTTGAGTTACATAGCAATGTGAAGAATTTAAAAACCTTTATTCCAGTAAACTTACAATATGAAAAAGAAAATAAAGTCTGGGAATATTCCCTAGTAGGAATGGGAAACAGAACTGAAGACTTTTTGCAGTGCACACACAGTTGTCAGACTATGGGGATCTGGAGAGTGTAATGCTGGGGTTCAAAGCCCTGACTGGATTACCTTCCTCAGAGCCTCTACATCCTCATCTGCAGAATTATTATACCTACCAACCAGGACTATCAGGAAATGTAGAACAAATAATCTACATTGTGTTATTTCGTAACAGTACCTGATTGTGATAAAGAAGGTTTGATTCTTGTTTCTCTGCAAACCCTGCCCAGGGGACTTGAGTTCTAGTCACTATGTTAAACTATAACTTATCAATAAAACTTCTGCTTATTCCACCTCATTCAATGAGAGGTTCAGAGCAGATCAAAGCTCCTTTCAACATGAACACAATTCAATGCTCAGACCCAATCAAAAAGTCATTCACAGCCCCAAGGTTAAACATGCGAAAGGGAGTTCCTTTACTTTTGCTTCAATGCTCCTTGTCTTTTGCAGAAGCAGGAAGTCCCATCACAGGTCTCACCTGCAACTTCCCTGTCTAAGCAGAGGGAAGTCCCTGGCTCTACCACCTCAGCTCTCCAGAGCTGAGAGGATCTGAAAGGCTGACTAATTGAAGGGGTAGGAAGAAGGCAAGCTGCCCTTCCTGCATCAAGCTTCTGCAAGCCCAAGCCCAGCTGGAAGGTCTAATTTTAGTACCGTGCTCACATCTGACGGCCAAACTAATTTTAGTCTCAGCCTCATCAGGGTCTCTTTTAAGGCTGTAATGATGATGTTCTGGTGAAAGAGAAGGTGCATCTGGAACAGAAATGTCTGGAAAGTGATTCTCTGGATGTGAGCAGGGGAAAGTTGCCTAGCCAGTTTGGACAGTGGCCAGTCCTAGGCCGGTCCTAGGCCGGTCCTGCCACCCAGCTGTTCTGTGCATCACTGTGGCCTGCTCACTTGCTCATGTTCCATGGTCCTCCACAACCAAGGCACACTTTGCTCTAGCAGTTAGTTCTGCTTATTAGTAAGTGGCTGTTTGCATGGTTGATCAGTGCAGTTATGTCTTTACCTTTTACTATGCACAGTGGAAGCCTGGGAAGGAGAAGGGTTCAGTGGCTTGAAGCATCAGATATGAGATCTGTATCTTATTTGTAAGTTTTCAAAGGTGTGAAGTGCCCTACTGGGGAAAAGTTGGCCATTATAGGGATTTGCAGCTGCGTTTTAACCCAGAATGCTACAGACAGTCCGTCCAAACTACCATGAGCTCCCAAACATCAGCACAACACAACACAACTCAGCATTTTACAGTTGTATATTTCATTTGTAAAGCCTGACATGGCAAAAGTGCTTATTTTGCTCTCTTCTCCAGCAGCATCTAGCAGCTGAGTTCCTTCTGGGACCTGAATTTATGTTCTGAAAATCAGAGTACCCCAAAGTGAAGAGCAACCTCAAAGTCAAGTCTTCTTCATTTGAAGTTGGCTGGCTGGCTTCAGGCCTGCGTTGATGTCTTAGATCAAGTTTCAGCTCATAATCTCTATAAGTGTATTAGCTCCAAGTAAATCCTTCAGAGTTCTAGGTCTACTGTGTGTGTGGGGGGGGTGGGGGTGGCTTCAAAGGTTGTATGGACAATTTGTATGGCCTTGCGTGCCAGATGGGTGCTGCAGGCTGAGAGTGAGGTAACAGCCAGATCTCTTGGTAGAAGGTAAAATATTTTCCTGAGTGTCCCAGGGGATATGTGGAAATGAAACAATATTACAGAATTGCCCTAGTAATTGTGGCTTTAGCAGCTGCAGAGAGAAAACTCAACTGCAGCCTTTCCTAAAGGAATGAAGCAGTACCCTGCAAGTGAGGTGTTGTGGCATTTACTTTGTAGATCCCCTTAAATATCACAGATGCTCTTTCTGTGCTCATACCCCACCTCTTTCTAGAAAGAATTTTAAGAGTGCTTATGCAATAGAGTTACAGTAAATTCCAAATACAAAACACAGCCATAAAAAGAAATATATATATATGTATGTATGTATGTACACACACACACACACACACACACACACACACACACACACACACACACACATATACTACATGCCAAATGTGTTTCTGAGCTTCCTGAAAACCAGAGGTGAAAAGGGGGCCCAATTAGTATCTTTTTCCTTGAGGTCATCTTCTGGGTGACAGTAATTGGTACATGGTAAGAAATTCTCTGAGACACTTCTGGAACAATTTTTGTCCCCAGATCTGTAACAGGCTTAATTTAGCAGTATTTCATGATGGATAGGAAGAAGCCATTAGCTCCTAGGGGAAAGATGGCCTATCCTGAGCACAGAGAAATAAACCTGTGCTTGCTTAGCATTGGGTAAAGCTCGAACCCAAAGTTGTGTCCATTGTGACCAGACTTTCTCCGCTGCTTCAGGTTACCGAATGCGGTTAGGGTCAAGTACAGACAAAAAGGATTCTGGCCGCCTTCACGTCGACTTTGCCCAGGCCAGAGATGACTTCTATGAGTGGGAATGCAAGCAGAGGATGCGAGCCCGTGAGGAGAGGCACCGGCGCAAGCTGGAGGAGGACCGGCTCCGGCCACCGTCCCCACCGGCCATCATGCACTACTCTGAGCACGAAGCCGCCCTGTTGGCCGAGAAGCTGAAAGGTATGCAATCTCACACCTAGCTACATTGCCCGCTGACAGATAAACGTAGCCATCTCCAAAGGCCGCAGCTCTGGAAACCTCTCTGGTCCCTTCATCTGCTGATTTCCCCCCGAGAGAGCAGGAGCAACCTAGAATCTGCAGACAGCTGGGCTTCAGCAGGGTCCAGGCCTTTCCAGCCCCTTCTCCTGCATGCCCCAGGAATGTGTGCACTGTCACTCCACGAAGCGCACTGAATGAGGTGACAGAGAGCTGGCCTGTCCTCTGTTCTAGTTAGCTCCCAGTGAGCCAGCCACACTTCCTAGTGTCCCCTGTGGAGTTTGCAGTTCCACCAGGCTCTGAAAGCCCTCCTGAGGCACACTGGGCCCTGAACTGAGGCCCACAGAAGACAGAGGAGAAGCCTAGAATTAGATCCCTCCCTCCAGAGGTGGAGGTGTTTGTTAAAGGCAAAGAAATGGCTCAAGTAGCAGAGCACTGGCCTTGAGCAGCAAAGACTAACCAACAGCATGAGGCCATAAATTCACACCCCAGTACTGGCACAGGCCCAAGTACTGGAACACACGTGCGCGCGCACACACGCGCACACACACACATACACACAGATACACAAATACAGAGATGGAGACCCTTCAGACACCTACAGATGTAGCAATGTAAGTGTACACACTTCCCTGCACAAAAGATTTGCAAAGGCCTCCTCTGACTTCCAAGCTTTTGGACATAACTACACATAGAAGACCTTACTACATGCCCAGCAGAACTTCAGTGATGATGGGGAAAAGGCCAGGTTTTGAAGTCAAGATGACGGTGGTGGTGGTATATGTGTGTGTATTGACCCAAGTGTGTAAGATGAGCAGCATATAAGATGAGCAGCATATACACATTTAGACATTTTATAGGCAAATCATGGTCAGTCCCTCCTCAGGTAAATGAGTGCTATTGGGCTAACATACACCAAAATGGTCACAGACAGACATCTACAAGTAAACAAGTTACTGGAAGCAAAGCCAGTAGCAAGACTGTCAAATAGGTACGGGTGCACATGTTGAAAACTCCAAGGCAAGTTTTCATAGAGCATGCAGAATTTCAACATGGCATGCTAAATAAGATTGCTTTCCCAACATAAAAAGGAGCATTGAGATAGTCTAACTTGAAGAAGGAGCCCTGGGAAAAAAGACACATGGGAAGAAGAGAGGATTTGCTATGTACACCCTACTGATAGAACAAGGTGGAGCTGGAAAAGTTTCTGGGCCAGATGGTGGATCCTAGATGGTTGTTGCTGGCTTTGTTTTTTTCCTATAAACAACAGAGAGGCTATTATAGATTTCTGATGTGAGGGGGTTAGTGATTGGTTCTAGGTTTTTAGAGAGGGTTTTATAATGTAGCTGGTGTATTTCTGTGTATTAGATGTTATCACTAAAGAAAATGTGTGACAAGCCACCTGACACCTATATTGGAAAGATACGAAAATGACATTCTATGTTTTAAGAAAAGAAAAACAAAAGTATACAAGCCCTGTGCTTCCTGTTTTAATTCCCTGCTGACCCTGAACTGATCCTTCACAACAACAGTATTTCTGTAGTTTGCTGACACTTTTGGTACATGCTCTGCTCTTCTGAGAAAGTTTGTTGCATACATGTAGGTACATAGGCAATGGCTGTCTCTACCACCAAAAGCATAGACAATGTAAATACAGCCATCCTCTCACCTCTATTCAATCTAGAAATCATACAGACTGTCCAGATTGAGAACAACATTCCCAACTAAGTCTGCTCATTGGACAAACACTTTTATTTTTTTAACATTCAGTGTTCAGTGTGCAGTGTGCAGTGTAGCACCTTATGCTACACGGACTAAGCTGTATCCTGTCAGGTCCACACTTCAAAGTGACAAAACCTAGTACCTTCAGTCACCTCGCGGAGGAATTTCATGAAAATTTGGCATCTCCATTATGTTACTTTTCAGAAGGCAGAGCTGAACACAGAACTTGCCTCTTCTTTTGGAAGATAGCAGATTGGGATGTCAATTCGGTAGAGTAATTTTCAAGCCTTGCCATTTCAAAAATGTATATTTATATAGATGAGTATAATTTGCAAAACTCAGAAGCCATACCTTTGCCAAGTACTGCTTGATCCCTTGAGGTGCAAGCAGATTGGAAATTTTAATAGATGGCTGTTACAGTAGAATGAACTAGCTGAGGATCCATCTTAGGCAACAGTCAGGTAATATCAAGCTTGACAATTTCAACCCAAGCACAGAGTGTGGAATATAAACAGCATTTAATTGCTTAGGAAATTGGCTGCCTCCAAGAGAAAATCCACTCCATGTTCCTTATAACTCTGCAGAGCCAGCCAGGAGAAGCCAAGGAAACTGTCTCCCTGATGATTATTTCATTGATGTGAAGATATAAAATGCAGTCAAGACGTAATTTACAGAAACCTGTGTCAGAAAGGAAGATAAAATACAGTCTGAAAATACCTAATTTGGTTTGATTTTTTTGTGTTTCTCCCTTGAGAAATCTTGCTGTCTTAGGTTTATTACAGTTCCTCCTGTTTTTTTATGTCGTACTTATATTTATTCTTACAATTTTCTTCTGGTAGATCAGCTTAATTCAGCAAAATCTGTACAAGCCCAGTTGTTATTATGACCCACAAGCCTCTCTGTGGCCTGTCTAGTGCTAAAACTGCATATAGTAGGTGTTCAGTAAACTGATTTCTTTCTCCCTTCTTCAGCTCTTTGGGCATGTTGTGTTTTTGATCCATAGTGATACTAGGAATGAGTGGAAATGAAGGCAGTGATGTGCTCACCTATCATTCCAGTCACTGTACAAGTATTTGCTCAGCATTTCACATGTGCCTGGCATTGTGCCCAGTACTGGAAGAAGAGAACGCAGTATACCAGCCACCAGCCCCTGCTTCACAGACCTTAGTTTTCTTGAGTATGGCAATAACACTTGCCACTTACAGTAGTAGGTTTAAAATTTTTATATGTACATATATACATACAGATACACATGCTATGCATTTCATGTGTATGCATGTATGTGTGCATCTGTGTGTGCCAATACTGAAGTTTGAACTTGGGACCTAGAAACTATCCATTAGTTTTTTTCACTTAATGCTGGTATTCTACCACTTGAGTCACAGCTCCACTCCTGGATTTTGGTGGTTAAGCAGAGATAAGAATCTCATGGACTTCTATCCAGACTGACTTTGAACCATGATGCTCAGATCTCAGCCTTCTGAGTAACTTGGCTTATAGGTGTGAGCCACCTGTGCCCAGCTGTGGGCATTTTTGAAAGTGGCACTTGCAGTATGCTCTCCCTGGAAAGGTAGCCAACTCGGTGGAGCAGTGTTAGGGTAAGGGCAAGAGAAGGGGGAATCTTTTTTTTTTTTTTTTGGCCTTTTTTTTTTTTTATTGTTAAAATACTGTACACAGGGGTTACAATTACATGGGCAAGATAATGAGTACATTTCTTATCAAGCATTGTAGCCTCCTCCTTTGTTTCCCCTTCCCATCCCTTCCCATCCTCCCCTTGCCCCCCAACCCAATCTTCCCCGCTCCCCCCGCACCAAAGTTGTAAAGTTCATTTTCGACATAACGACTTGTACATCTCATTGTTGCAATGGGTCCACCTGTATCCCTATTTAAATGATTTGTTTTTCCCCTTCCCCTCCACAAATTATACCGACATCAAATACAGTGAAAACAGGGGTTATACGGTGGGGGAGGGACATACTAAGCAACAACGAAATAATCTTATAAATGTGTTAGAAACAATCGCATGAAAGAAAAAAACATTTGAGTACATATCTTAGGGTTCATTTCCCTAACATCACCTTATCTGACCTTTTCTGCTTGACTCAGACATATACTAGATATTGCAAATAAGGGAAACCATGGGATCTATGTTTCTTTGGGCCTGGCTTACTTCACTTAATATAATTTTTTCCAAGTCTTTCCATTTCCTAACAAATGGGGCAATGTCATTCTTTCTGATGGAGGCATAGAATTCCATTGTGTATATATACCACATTTTCTTGATCCGTTCATCTACTGAGGGGCATCTGGATTGGTTCCATAGCTTAGCTATAGTAAGTAGTGCTGCAATGAACATAGTCGTGCTGGTAGCTTTAGTGTGGTCTTGTTTGTAAACATTTGGGTAAATGCCCAAAAGTGGGATTGCGGGTCATAGAGGAGCTCTATGTGGAGTCTTTTGAGGACCTCCATACTACTTTCCAAAGTGGTTGAACAAGTTTACACTCCCACAAACAATGCAGTAAGGTTTGAGAAGGGGGAATCTTTTGGGGCCAGGTCACCTCATTCCATTCGCTGACTGCTAGGCCTTCCAAAGCCAGGGGAAACACAGTTTTATAGTGTTTTGTAGTGTCTGAGACACCAAGTCTCCCAGCGTCTGTTCCATTAATATAAATTCTAAGAAAGAGAATGAGTAGGCACCCTGCTGATTAACTAGACATTGTTCTGAGACAATTCAACTTAATGAAGACTGACTGGGAAGTAACTGTGCATAGACCCAAAGTTTATGGGATGGCTTAGAGAAAGTGAGAAGGAGCTCGATAGCACCATAATTACACTTTATTGGAAACAGTGGCACCAGGCAGACGAGATAATGAATTCCAGTGTGTCTAATGCAGACTATCCAGCCCTGAAGGAGCCCTGGGTTTGGTCTGTGCAATGAAGAGATTGATTAGACCACGAGGAAGCATTCTCTCCTCCTTCACGGGGGATTCTGTGGGCAAGAGCACTTAAAAGTTTTGTGTACTTTCCTCCCTTTTGGAAAGCTGCCCATAATCTCTCTTTATGTGATAAAGAATTTCTCTCTGTGTTAGATGGAAGTTCTGACAAAGGTCTGCAACAGTGCTATTGTGTCACCATGCATCTGGTCCTTCTGAGGACTAGACTTAGATTTCCTTAGTGTGACCAGAATCAGCCTGTGACTGAGAGGTAGAGGTGGAAGTGGTACCAGCATTTTGCAGAGGAGG